AGCAAATCCCCACTGCTGGTCCTCCCTCATGCCATTCCAAAGAAGCAAATCTCTATGTGAAGCATTTGTGAGCATGCTGGAAACAGAGGGCCCCTAGAAAAATAATTAAGAAATAAATTCCACTATTCGGTGGTACTTGTTCCAAAGGAGACAAAGTGTCTTTTGTGAAATGTTCCCACCAGAAGCCTTGCAGAGTTTGAACTGCATCCACAGCCTCCACTGGTATTAAACCTGAAGTAAGATCTTATTGTTTGCGTTTCCTTTCACTACTGAAAATCCAAACAGATTTAAAAATATCTGACTAATCAACTAGGTCTGAGCTGCACTTTTCCCAGGATGTGAATCAACTTTATTATAATTTTAAAAAATCTATTAGCATTATTATGGCAAGAAGATTACCACAGAAAGTAAGAGGGGGGTAAGGTGCTTAAACACAGCGAGGAGATAATCCCTAGACTCTAACAATAAGTCCCTGCTCATTCATCATATGAAGTCATATCAAGTCTGCAGTATTGTTTGCTAACTAGCATGTATTAGGTAAGGATGAAATTTTTAGGAGGAATTATGCCCTTTCCAAAACCTCCTGCCAGCTCAAGAGGATTTCGAAACCCAGCTAAATGTAACACACCTTCATGTTTACTTTCTTTGCTCTGAAACTCTGAGAAGTTAACATAGACCAACCACACTGCCTTATGCTTTGTGGGATACGCTGTGGGGTCACAGAATAAAAACCAAACCCAGGCTGATTTACAGATATTTCTGGGGCAGGAAGAGCTTCAGCAAAGGTCTCAGGAAAAAGGTCAAATCACTGGAAGTGTGACATCCTTCTTTTCCTTTTTTCACTAAGAAAGGTTGGTAAGTGACATGCAAGATTCCTGTAAAGTCTCCCTTGCAGCCAAAATCCCTGTCTCAACAGGGTCCATCAGCAGAGGATGCATCATCATCATCGTCATGCCTTTCCCCTGGGAAAGAGAATTGGGACGGAAAGGATGAGCTCTGTAAGCAAAACAAAGTAGAGAATGGGAAAGAGCTGAGAGACCAATTAAGCCCTGCACACATGTAAGCTCCCTGCATGGCAGCTGACCTACAAAGGATATTTAGTGTAGACAAAGGGCTGCACATTGAAGTGATAAATTAACGAATGCAAAAGCTATGCAGTATTAGGCTGTGCTGAAGGGAGTAGATTATTCTTGCATTAACTCTATTATAAAGAGATGATCAATGCCACATAAATCGAAGCAGATATATTGGCATAAACACCCGGATTCAGCTCCACTGCCTTGCATATTCTTGGTAATAGAGTTTGCAACACTTTAAATGCAAAAAGAGAAGGCAGCTTCCAGAAAATTTCTTTCATTGTATTTCCACTTATGCAGCTGGGTGGAGCTGGAAGAAAGCTCTCTCTGGAAAACGCAGTTCACCTGCCACCCCACAAGAAGGCAGAGCTTAAGTAGCCCACCATCTCTTTACAAGTACTGGGGGATGTTTTAGTCCTCCTACAAACATCCCTGCTTTTTCCGGCTGGGAAGAATGCTGTGAGTGACAGCTGGGAAGGGATAAAAGAGGCAAATGTGGGCGTGAAAATTTGCAATTTGCAAGTGAGCACTGAACCGTGTCTCTAGACAGACACATCATGGTGAGTGAAAGGAGCTCTTTTAAGCATAATAATCTTTTAAAGTCTGTCATTTGAGATGTAGTCTGAGTTCAGATGAATGATTTTTCAACCTATTACATTTCCAATCTCCCCCTCCTCCCATTATTAAGGAACGCTTCCACACCCGCTTCCTCTATTGGATATTGGAACAATGCACCCTCCAAGACTGTTAGCTTCCATGGAGATATTTAATAAAAATGCAATGACTAGAAACTGTGAAGATAGAGCGGTCTGAGGAACAAGAAATTTAAAGACACAAATATGCAAAACTCCTCGAGATGCTGCCAAGGCAGAAATTTCAGAAGGAAAACAATGCTGAGTAACATAATTTGCCCCAGTAGCTGCAAGTCATTCAGCAAACTTGAATTAGCTCATACCTCTGCTGTCTCTGCAAGGCCTCACGAGAGAGGAATGAAATCCTTTATCAGCAGTACCAAAAACCCCTCCAAACAGCGTAAATATTAGAAGGCCCCAGTTAAAGTCAGGGAGCTGGCAGCTGCCCCATGATGATTAATGTGTTCACACATCTCCCTGTGCCCTGGCTCTGCCATGCTGAGCTACTGTTTGAGAATTTCATAACCTGAGCAGCCCCTTTGCTTTCAAAGGCACAGCCTGGTCTGTCTAGTGATTTGTCCAAGAGGCAGGTAAAGTGAGAGTCTGGTTTCCTCTTTCTCTCCCTTCTTTCTTGAGGGGAATTTGCCCTTAAGACTGGGGCATTGAATAGGGACTACCAAATCACTGTAGTGAGTAACACATTGTACAATGAAATAAAGAACAACTGAACGTTCACAGTAAGGAGGAGATTAGACAGAGAAACCTGTTTTCATAAACAAGCAGGACTAGCAACACAAGTGAGTGATAGCCTGATATTAAAGAATACTGCATTACTGCTAGGAAAAATTCAGCAGTAAAAAAAAAGGAGAAAAGTAGGCACACACAGGCCCTCTGTACATCAACAGGAACCCCCTGTAGTGCATGTCCTGGCTTCAGCAGCCTGCGTGAACCCATGTACCATCCTGGTTCCTGTTCAGCTGCAAACACACAAGCACATCTTAATGCCTAATTAAGATATGCCGGGGAAAGAAAACGGAAACTAACAGAACCAAGAAAGGTGCTGGTAAGGACAGAGTCCCAATTAACAACTGAAGAGAGAGCTGGCCCATGCCTTTCATGCGATGATTCTAGTTGCAATTTGTACCCTTGAAATCAATTTCTAATTTGCAATGACAATTCATTTGTTTCTTTTGATGCCTGGCTTCAGAGTCACTGAAACATGCTGCTGGCACAGCCCTGGAGGCTGATGACCCGTTAAGCCTCAAACCAGGCACTACGTTCCACCCTGCAGAAAGTCATAGAATCATAGAATTGTTATGGCTGGAAAAAACCTTTAAGATCATCAAGTCCAAATGCTATCTAACTCTACCAGGCCCACTTCTAAACCACATCCCTGAGCACCATATCTATACAGCTTTTAAATACATCCAAGGATGGTGATTCAACCACCTCCCTGGGCAGCCTGTTCCAGTCTGTGGTAACCCTTTCAGTGTAGAAGTTTTTCCTAATGTCTAACCTAAACCTCCCTTGGTGCAACTTAATGCCATTTCCTCTTGTCCTATTGGTTGTAACTTGTGAGAAGAGACCAATGCCCACCTCTCTACAACTTCCTTTCAGGTAGTTGTAAAGAGCAATAAGGTCTCCCCTCAGCTTCCTTCTCTTCAGACTAAACAACCCCAAGTCCCTCAGCCACTCCTTGTAAGATTTATTCTCAAGACCCTTCACCAGCTTCGTTGCCCTTCTCTGGACCCTCTCCAGCACCTCAATGACCTTCTTATACTGTGGCACCCAAAACTGAACACAGTACTCAAGGTGCGGCCTCACCAGTGCCAAGTACAGTGGGACAATCGCTGCTCTGGTCCTGCTGGCTACACTATTCCTGATGCAGGCCAGGATGCTGTTGGCCTTCTTGGCCACCTGGGCACACTGCTGGCTCATGTTCAGCCAGCTGTCAATCAACGCTCCCAGGTCTTTTTCTGCTGGGCTTTCCAGCCACTCTTCCCCAAAACTGTAGCATTGCGTGGGGTTGTTGTGACCCAAGTGCAGGACTCGGCACTTTGCCTTGTTGGAGCTCATACAGTTGGCCTCAGCCCATTGATCCAGTCTATCCAGGACCCTCTGAAGAGCCCTCCTACCCTCAAGCAGATCAACACTCTCACCTAACTTGGTATCATCTGCAAACTTACTGAGGGTGCTCTCAATCTCCTTGTTGAGATCATTAATCAAGATATTAAACAGGAGTGGCCCCAACACTGAGCCCTGTGGAACACTCCTTGTGACAGACCACCAACTGGATTTAACTCCATTCACCACCACTCTCTGGGCCCAGCCATCCAGCCAGCGTTTGATCCAGCAGAGAGTATGCCTGTCCAAGCCTTGGGTATCCAGTTTTTTCATGAGAATGCTGTGGGGAACAGTATCGAAGGCTCTACTGAAGTCCAGGTAAATAACATCCACAGCCTTTCCCTTGTCCACCAAGTGGGTCACCTTGTCATAGAAGGAGATCAGGTTTGTTAAGCAGGACCTGCCATTCATGAACCTGTGCTGACTGGGCCTGGTTGTCTGGTTGTCCTGTAAATAGTATGTAATGGCACTCAAGATGATCTGCTCCATAAGCTGCCCCAGCACCAAGGTCAGACTGACAGGTCTGTAGTTCCCTGGATCCTCCTTCCAGCCCTTCTCGTAGGTGGGTGTCACATCTGCTAATCTACAGTCCGTTGGGACCTCCCCAGTTAGCCAGGACTGCTGTTAGATTATGAAGAGTGATCTGGTGACCACATCCACCAGCTCCTTCAGCAATCTTGGGTGTAACTCATCTGGCCCAATAGACTTGTGTATGTCTAGGTAGTGCAGCAGGTCACTAACCATTTCCTCTTGGATTATGGAGGTCTCATTCTGTTCCCCATCCCTGTCTTCCAGCTCAAGGGGCTGGGTACCCAGCAAACAACTAGTCCTGCTATTAAAGACTGAGGCAAAGAAGGCATTAAATACCTCAGCTTTTTCCTCATCTTTAGTCACTGTGTTTCCCCCTGCATCCAATAAAGGAGGAAGATTCTCCCTAGTCCTCCCTTTGTTGTTAATGTATTTATAGAAGCATTTTTTATTGTGTTTGACAGCAATAGCCATATTGAGTTCTAGTTGGGCTTTGGCCCTTCTAGTTCTCTCCCTGCATAGCTTCAATGCATCTTTGTAGTGCTCCTGAGTGCCCTGCCCCTTTTCCAAAGGCCATAAACTCTCCTTTTGTTCCTGAGTTCTAGCCAAAGTTCTCCATTCATCCAGACCGGTCTTTTACCCCACTGGCCCATCTTTCGGCACATGGGGATAGCCTGTTCCTGTGCCTTTAAGACTTCCTTCTTGAGGAGTCCCCAACCTTCCCGGACTCCTTTGCCCTTCAGGACGGCCTCCCAAGGGACTCTGCCAATCAGTCGCCTGAACAGACCGAAGTCTGCCCTATGGAATTCCAAGATAGCAGTTCTGCTACCCCCTCTCCTTACTTCACAGAGAATTGAAAAATCTGTTGTTTCATGATCACTATGCCCAAGACGGCCTCCAACCATTACATCTCCTTCAAGTCCTTCTCTGTTAATAAGCAGCAGGTCCAGGAGGGCATCCTCTCTAGTTGGCTTCTTCACCAGCTGTGGCAGGAAGTTACCTTCCACACACTCCAGGAACCTCCGGGACTGTTTCGTCTCTGCTGTATTGTATTCCCACCACATATCTGCGAAGTTGAAGTCCCCCACGAGAAGAAGAAGTAGCAATCATGAAACCTCTCCCATCTGCTTATAGAGTATTTCATCAGCCTCATCTTCCCGATTGGGTGGTTTGTGACAAACTCCCACCGCGATATATGCCTTGTTTGCCTTCCCCTTTATTCTTATCCATAAACACTTGACCTTATCATCACCGTCATTAAGTATTACACATTCATATTTCTCCCTGACATAGAGGCCCACTCTGCCGCCTCTACTTCCTCACCTGTCCCTTCTGAAAAGTTGGTAGCCATCAATTGCAGCACTCCAGTCATGCGAGTTGTCCCATTGCATTTCTGTGATGGAAACTATATCATAGTTTTCTCACTGCACAATGGCGTCCAGTTCCTCCTGCTTGTTGCCCATGCTGCATGCATTGGTATAGCTGCACTTCAGCTGGGCTACCGATCCTGCTACCTTCTTGGAGGGAGAACCCCTAATTCCCACCAGACCAGTCTCAGATGCTTCCATAGTTACCAGCCTATCAAATTTTGTGTCTTTGCTGCCACATGGATTGCCATCCCCCACCTCCACTGAGGTGGCCAACAGTAAGACCTTACTACGACACTGTCTCACAGGTACCGGCATGCTGCTCCCAGGCTCCTTGCTAGCAACCCCAGTTTCATCCCCATCCCCCTTCGAGTCTTGTTTAAAGACCTTTCAATGAGCCCTACTAGCTCTTACCCCAGGATCCTTTTCCGCAGTTGAGATAGGTGTTCCCTATCTGTTGCCAGCAGGCAGACTTGGTGTCTTGTAAAGCAGCCTGTGGTCAAAGAACCCAAAGTCCTGCTGATGACACCAGTCTCTTGATCTGCTAGCTTTTCCTGTTTATCCCCTCAGCAATTCTTGCAACTGGCAGGATAGAATCAAACACTACTTGTGCTCCCAGTCCTTTAACCAGCCGTCGCAGGCCCTCAAGTCTCTCTTCATTGCCCTCAGGCTTCTTGTTGCAATTTCATCACTGCCTACCTGAAAAATCATTAACAGGTAGTAGTCTGAGGGCTAAACTAGGGTAGGGAGTCTTCTCTGTACGTCCTTAACCCTGGCCCCAGGGAGGCAGCAGACTTCCCTAAGGAGTGGGTCTGGCCTGCATATAGGACCTTCTGCTCTCTTCAGAATTGAGTTACCTACTACAAGGACCCATCTTTCATTCTTTACTGAAGATGTTATGATGCGAGGCATAGTCCGTCTCGGCCTTGGTGGCAACTCGAAGCTAGGCGAGCTGTCATCTTTGTCATTATTTGGTTCCCGTTGCAGAACATCATACCTTTTTTGCAAGGGCACCTGGGAGGGTGGGGGGGGTTGCTGGGGAGACACGCCTCCCGCACCTGCCATGTCAGGCAGGAACTTGTCGCCATTACCCCCATTCCTCTAAGTCACCACATTCGGCCATGCTGATAGAGGATGGGGAGTCCTCTGTATCTGGAACTCTGGCTGCCTGAAGGGTTTGTTTCAAGGAGGGCAGGGTGCAACTCTAATGATCTATCTCTTTCTCTTTCTTACACTCCCTGATACTTCTCAGCCTGCTTACCTCCTCCTGGGGCTCTGTCACTAGGTGGAGGAGCTCCTCTACCTGGGCACACCTCCCAGTGCTCACTGCTGCCACCCAACACTGGCGTAAGAGCAGGGCACACTCTGCAGCCCAATGCCTGGGTGGCAGAGTAACCCCATGAGAGCTCTGTCTGGGACGCTGCATCAGAACTGGTGGGTGCAGAGCTCAGGGATGCCATGGTCTTCTGCTGAGTTGTTACCATTGCTTCCTGGCTGAGTTAGCAAGCTTTCAGTGCCCTCCCACGTGACCTGCTGTGCAAACTGCCATGCCCTGTTTGCCTGGTCTGTTCACCCATCCTGTTGGTGAGAGCTAGGTCCGGTGTCCAGGACCTTTCAGTCCTTAGTGTGTCCTGGGGCAGCTACCAAGAGCTGATGAAGGTCATCCAGAGTGCTGGTACGATGGCTGTGTGCCTAACAATCCACCAGGATTTACTTTGACAGGAAAAATCATAAGTTATGCAAACCAGATCTTATGTTTTCCATCTGTTAGTTCCTTCAAACCGTGCAGTTATGGGTAAAATGTCCCTGTGCAATGATTAAACCCTTCAAAGTGGTTTCTCTTACTGGCCTTGCCACACAAGCTTGTTCAGACCTGTACAAACAACATCAGGTGAGATACTGAGGCATCCAGCTATCCTGCCCTCCAAGTTTCCACAAACTGTCCTGTGTGCTCTATCCCCAGGGTGTCTGGGGACATGGAAGCCAGTGAGCTCTGCCTTTGCAGTTTTGCTGGGCCTTTCAGCAGAAGATTTGTAAGCACGTTAGCAAAGTTCCACCACAGCACTACAGACAGGGCAAGCACCCTCATTTCCACTGTGAAGAAAAAGGGATGAAAATGGCAGGAGATCAACTGACATCTTAAAGCCACAAACCACGTTAGTGGCACAGCTCAGGCTCTGCCATTCTGGCAAGCAGTTCACCCCTCCTCAGTAAGCCACAGAGATGGGAAAAGCTCAAGACCCAAGAGATATCTTAGTCCACTGTGGGGCTACACCACACTATGTTCCGGGTAAGGGAAAACATTGATTGCATGCATGTATGTACACTCAGACAAGTATCTCTGAGTAGCATGCTTCTGCTGAAAAAAAACTGGCTGTTGTATTCAGTACCATTGTATATCTATTGAATGTGTGCACAGAAAGGGTGCTAATTGCTTTTCCATTCAACAGTTGTAGTTGCTACTGCTGTAGGAAGTACATTCAACATGAAGCAAATTCATGTTTAGAAAACAGAGCTACCTCCAGAAACCACCTGCATTTTAATTACCATTTGGATATACATGGGATCCTCTGTTTTATAACAAGGCTACCTTTTCAGTTGCCTTTCTCCTACTCCTTTAATATGGAGATTTTTATTGTCGGCCATATCTTTTAATGGGGGTGTCAGTGCTGCGAACAGGGCACTCAGGTGCTTCGCACAAACAATGACTGTAGGCATGACTGCAGCAATAACAAGTGCCAAGACAGCATGAGAATCTAAAGAGGGCCATTGGCAGTCATAGGGGAAAGCTTGAGGCCTGTCCTGAGTAGTTGTGGTGAGCGGCAGCAGAGTCACTGCTCTGCCGGGTAATCTCAGCAAGTCATCTCCACTTTATGGCACACGAAATTTCCCCAGCATGTTTATCTTCCACAGTGTCTGTTTTCCAGTCCATCCATCATCTGAAAGTAAAGGGTGGGTGGGGAGCAGGAAAACAAACACAAACATGCAACTGGTATTTTATGAATTGTACAAGGGTGTGAGGGCAGGCAATGTGACAGCAGAGCTGCCGGGAGCTTCCCTGGCAGACAGAGGTGGGGGGAAAAGGAGAAGGGAATAGGGCAGTGCTGATGCAGCTGGGGAGTAAGGAGGCCAGTTTGGTCATTTGTGAATGAATCCTTTGTTTTATGAGCTTGAGTCTCAGTCTCAGGGGCCATTACCTCCAAGGCAGCTGGGGTGGAAATTCCCCCCATTTGTTTGGGGGCAAGCATTATTTCAATCAGCTTGTGTGCAATCTTAATTGATGGGCAAGCCTGAAGCAGAAGTAATGGACATAGTACCAAGATCTCCTGCGCCAGTCACACACTTCCAAAGCTTACATGACAGTTTCACATTGAACACTATGCCTAATAAATCTACCCAACTGCTTTGTGCTAAATCTCATCCAGGATTAATCTTTTAAATTCTTTCAGGTACACTGCCCTTTCTCAGATGGATGTGTGCATAGCAGCAAGGGAGAAGCTTGAGCAATTTCTTCCAACAGCACAAACTTATGCTTTACATCTGGCAGCCCAAGAAAATACTACCTCTGGTCTCCCTCTCACCCATTCAGATAAACACCTTTGACTGGATACATAAAGGTTAACAGAAGTCTGCCATATGTGCTGGTTCAGCTTTATACTTAGGTAGAACATGGTTTCCTTGGTTTGGCTTGAACACCATGATGTTTGGCACAGTATGATTACAGACCAAAAAAACAGCAAAAAGAAGAGGCAAAGTATTCAAAGAAGAGAATATATTATTTATCTTGCAGAGAAACCAAGCAGCACCAATGGCCCTGTAGGAAAGAGACATCCGAGGTTCAGTAGTTCTGTTTTTATTAAATAATCTGGGACATTTTCAGTGTGATCCTGTTGGAGGCAGCAAAAACACGGATGTCTGAAAGCAGGCGA